TATATATATATATATGCAACTTTCTCGTCCTCACTTCCGTTTTATTTTCTTATCACTAAGAATTTCAAGTCTTACCCGTCAAATCGAGGTCAGTGGGAAAACAAAAGGAATCTAAAGTAAAGAAATCAAATTAATTTAATCGGCGACTTTGACTTTACCAGCGTGTGCAAACACTTACCGGTAGCTTATAATACGTGTTTCTTGTCGATCGTCATCGGTGCGTGCTACTAAATGAAGACGCTAAAGTAAATCAGCGGGCAACAATGGCTTTTTGCCACGGTACGCGCTTCTTCGACTAAACGTCACGACCTGACTGACGTGAAGAAATCGTCGTGTCCTAAACGAAGTTTTCCGGATGAGAGAAGAACAGGAACGACCGGTTGTTCGACCACTTCAACCTTTCCAGGAAGGCGAGACCTCTTCGCGAGACTCCGATCGGCCGCGGAATCATTCGAACGCGACAGTTGACCTACATCGACCAAAAATCGTAAAACGCCGGTCTTCCTCCTCGGGGCCCCCGGTTCGGGGCCCACCTGAGGCCCTGCCCATTTGTTCTACGTGATCCTCGTACATACCGCGTACATAACGGAACGCCGTCCCGAAAACTTTCTCCGGCGCGGCGGCTGGCGGTCCCATTAATAACCGACGATGATTATTATTTTCTTGCCGTTCGACTAAGGTTACTGGGTGACCACGAAAAGCGCACGATTTGAATTTGAAGAACGGAATCAAGTGGAATCGGTGAAAACGACTCGACGACACCTCGACGAGGTGTTAATTTTCGAAACACTGGACTACTTCCGCACGTCACGCTGATGGCTTCGTGTCTACCGTTTTAATACGACGATTTACAGCTGAGATGACATCGAGCAGCAATTAGAAAACTAAAAATTACAGTGCACTACAAGTCAGTATGTATGATTATTAAGAGTAGTACTGTTTTGCGTTTGCATCAACTTAAATGCATTAGCATTTGATTAATTCTATTAATATAAAAGTAAATGTAGGAATATCGTTTAGAAAAGAAAAAAACATGTGGATAAATTTCAAAATTTTTTAGTTTACATTTCTGCGATTCTCAATCCTCTAATTATTAACTGATCGAGCTCTATTAGCAAGTAACTTGTGTATATCTTCGCATTTCTTGAAAAGATCGATGTAAAATTACGTCCTTGCGGCAGAAAGAGAAAATTTAAACTTTTATAATACTTACTTTTATAAAGATATTGTGTGTGTGTGTGTGTGTGTGTAGTAAATGATAAATAAAAATA